AACTGATTTAATATAGATAGTGTATACAGATGCATATTACTATCACAATATATATTTTAATACAACTTTAAAATTTTTTCTTTTTCTTTCTGATTGACATGATTTGATTTTGGCTTTTCATGATTTAAAGTATGCCTTTTCTCTGGATATTGATATTTAGAAAAAAACTTATTTTCACTGTAAGGGCTCCCTATTTAAGGTATGGGGGGTAAAATTTTTTGTGTGAGGAAGCATTTTTATTGTTAAAAGTTATCTATTTAATTTTGGGAAAATTTTACACATAATGAATTAAGTTTGATCTAAACAGACAGTGACCAAATTAAGTTTTCCAGTTCCCATTTTTCTACAAGTCATGCTGCAAACCCTGCTGCAGAAGAAAATCAGCTCCCAACTCTAAAGTCAATGCCTGGAATCTGTCAGTCCTACCAGGAAAACGAGGGAGTAATTTAGTGTGATTCTCTTATGTCAGCCCAAGGGCACAAGTATAGACAAGGCAGGTGCTCTGCTTCTTAGGGTGTGAACACACAGGAGGGCAACAACACAGTCACACAAAGCCCTGGGGAGAGACAAGCTCTATCTGAGCAATGGAGGATGCCTTCCCAGAGGTGATGGCATTTGGGATGTGTTCTGAAGAAAGAGTGAGAGCAGTCTGGGAAAAGAAGAGGAAGAAAGCACCTACCTGCCATATAGACCTCGGCGGGCAGGCTTTTGCCCAGATGGAATCACCGAGAACCTAGTGCAGGCACACATGTACGCATGAGGCGGAGGTGGTGCCAGAGGTGGGTAAGTGAACTGTTTGGAGTGACTGGAATATATCATGTGGAACAAAATCTGTTTAAAATAATAACTTTATTTTTATGGCAACCAATTCTTAATTCATTCAACAAGAAGTTATTTGGGCACCTAGTAGTTAGGTGCAAGAAATTAAACTAAGTAGCACAGAAATTCCCCATCTCCAACCAGAACAGGCATAGATTATTCTGATTTGCTGTCACTCTTAGCGTGGAAGGACTCAGCTGAGCATGGGCAGGAGGCTCTGCAGTCCTCTATACAGGAGGGTCCCTGGAATAACAAATGGGATTCTCTAAAGATGAAGGGATAAACACGGAAATGCACTGAAGCTTTGGTACAACCTGATCCATCCTGGAGGAGACTCTGGTTTGTAGCCAGCCCATCAGGAAACCAGAACATACTTGCTGGGCTCCATGGAAGAGAGGTGAGCTGTCAGGAGGCCAGAGCCTGCCACATGAGCTGGAGTCTGGCTGGCCAGAGCAGCTGGTGAGACTGCCACAGGCAAGGTTCAGATGGCCACACTGTTTGGTATCCGGTCTGGGGACAAGTAGTAATAGGGCAGCTTTTTGTTCTTGTTGCGCTCAGCAATGACGCTGACAATGGCCTCCAGGTTCTTGCGGAATCGGGCCATGGCCTCCTTCACAGGCTTCTCAATGAAGTGCTCTTCTGGGTACATGCCTAGGAACAGCTGAGGGCACAGACATGGGCAGAAAGCTTAATCTAAGATAGGACCACACAAAGTGACAGGCCTTGTCCCACCCCTGTGGACCATCACTTAAGAGGACAGGCAAGGAACATCTGCTCACCTCCCCTTTTCCTCTACCTTCTGCCACCTGCTCTGATGCAGATGCAGCATATGTAATCAGTGAAATACTATTCAGTCATAATGTAGAATGAGATTTTGTCACTTACAATAACATGGATGAAGCTGGAGGACACTATGTTAAATAAAATAAACCAGGCACAGAAATTCTAATAGTGTATGATCTCACTCATGTGTGAAGCCTTAAACAGTTGATCTCATAGAAGTTGACAGTAGAATGGTGGTTAACAGAGGGGAGGGGAGGGGAGTAGGAGAAAAGAGGAGAGGATGGTCAGTGGGCACAAAGCTACAGTTAGGAAGAACAAGTCACAGCCTGCGCCCTCACCAGCCCCACCACTCTGAGATCTCTCTAGGCCTCGATTGAAGATTTGGTAGCACCTGCAGCTGATTCTGGGCCCTCCAGCCTTGGAGGTCAGGATTCCTTGCTGTAGGTTCCATTCCTTCCTTCATGGTCCCCACCGCCCCCCAACCCTTTGTAACAAATAAAAACTTGAACTTGAGAAATGAGTTAAACCTTGGGTGATCTGCCAGTTTCCTATCCTGTCTTCTCACCTCATTCTCCTGAAACTGGCTCAGCGCCCACACTGCACCCAGATGCCAGCAGGAGCGGCCACGGTCCGGCAGAGTATCCACAATCTGTTCTATATTCACCACTCCCTTGGCCGTGGGCGGTGGGGCACGCATGGTTGGGGGAGCATTGGGGATCCAGGAACACCAGTCGTACTGCAGAGACAGTACCCACAGAAGTGGGCAACCCGGAAGTCTGGCCACCTGCCCACCTGCAACCCACCATATCTGCAACTGCCTGACCCACAGGGCACTGCCCGTTCAACTTTGCCCCTCCTCTTGGGTGCCACCATCCCTCCTAGGGTACTGCACCTCCTCTCCAAGGTTCCATTCCCTCCTTCCTGGTCCCCACCCTACCCTCCCTCTAGCAGCCCACAGCCGGATCCTCCTTCACTGAACTGGTGGAATAGGTGCCTGTAAACACTGATTCCAGGTCCAGAGTCTGTCAAGGGGAAGGCTGTTAAGGCCAGGAGGAAAAGACAGTGCCCAGAGCAGAGGAGGAGGCAAAGGTGGGCCCAGCTTCACCAGCCAGCAGTGGATGAAGGGATTCTGAGCGAGGTCCCGCCCTGAGGGTTCCCCTTGTCCAGCTTACCTGGCCAAAGTTCACCGCTGCATGCTGGGCTGAGGCCGTAAAGATCACCACAGTCAGGTACTCGGACAGCTTCTCCCGGGTCTTGATTGACTTGGGGAAGCCTGAGGAGAAACCATGGCTGAGCTCTTTCCCCCTGCACCTGGGGAGGGACCCCTGACACAGCCTCTCACCCTGCCCTCTGCCCCACAGCCCACTGCTCTCAGCATTTCTGCAAGTGCTGGAGAAATTGTTGTGCCAAATACTCTAGCAGGGGACAACCTTTCCAAGCACGCCACTGAGAGGGATCCATCCAAGTCCCCCAGGGCAGTCAGAGACACAGAAGAGCTGCTGTGGCCCACCTGAAGCCTTCTTGCCCCGCATGCCATACATGTAAACATCCTTCACAAAGTCCTGAAGCTCCTGGTCCTCTTCTACAACCTGGTCACTCTCGTAGTAGATGCTCACCACTTCGGATGTGAACCTGGCTCAGAAAGGGGGCCGGTAGGAATAAATGTCCCATCTTTGACCTTAATGTCACTCCTTAATGCCCCGGACTCAGGATCCCCTCAGCCCCTCCCTCCATCAGCGCCTAACCACTGAGCCAGATCACGCCCCATTGACTTGTCCTGGGGCCTCCTTCCCAAAGACACCAGCCATTACTCACGTCTGAATGGCATCCCACACCAGCAGCCCATCATCTCGGTAGAAGTAGTAGGGGATGTCTTCAGTGCTCTCCATGCCCCGGGCTTTGATGGCCGCAGGAAAGCACAGGGAAGCATAGGTCAGGTCCTTCATGGCCTTCTGTACCATCTGCACGTGCCCACCACCTCCGGTGGCATTGGCCTGGATAGGAGGAGAGAGCCCCTGATGGAGGGTGGCTTTCCTCCTGCCCAGCTGCCCTGCCCAGGAGTTCATCCCTGCATCCAGGAGAAGGTGGGAGGGCAATGGGGTGGCAGAGCAAGAAGGGCAAACCTTTTTCCTGCGAGGTGGGAAATGAGTGATATTTAATTTGTAGAAGGCCTACCCTTCTAACCCCCATGATGAGGTGACAGGGAGAAACCCTTCCCCACCCATTGAAAGGGACTGAATACCGTGTATGTGTATTGCACTGCTGCAGGAGGGAGGGATAGGCTGCCACCTGCAGGAAGGCAGCCAGGCAGGTGGCAGATGTGTAGGCACCCACCCGTGGGGGACCGGCTTTCCTGATGCCTTGCTTGGGGGAGACTGGGTTATGGGTCAGGTACATTAAGGGCATGGAAGGAAAGAGGGTGGGAGGCTGTGCTCAGAATGTTAGGCAGGTCCCAGGCAGAATGGTAGGGGTGTGCAATGTGGGAAGGGGACACAGAGATTTGGTGTGTATGAGGTCTATGGTGTCTATGAGGAATGAGGCTCTGGGGCCTGGAGAGGGGAGGGGTGGTAAGAGGTGACAAAGAAACTTCACAAGGAGGAAGACCTGGTGATATCCTGAGAAGAGGAGAGGGTCCCTTGACTGGTGGAAAGGCTTGGAGGTTAGTCACAGAAGCTGGGAGTTAGCTTCAAGTACAGCCTCCAGTCTTCTGCCTTTTCCAAGCCTCCACCCAGCGGCCCAGCCTCATTCAGATGGGTTGTAGAGACGACCAAGCAGGGATATCACAAGTACCAAGCGTGTCGGAGAGCATCTACCTTGTCAAAAAGGCCATACTCGCAGATGAGCTGTTCTCGGGCCTTGGTGTTGATGGCGATGGTGAACCTCACATGTGCCACCAACAGCTGCGCAGGGAAAGAGCAAAGACCTCAGAAAGGGCCTCCTGGGTGCTGAGCATCCCCACCCCAGCTCATAATCCAAGGGGTGATGCCTAATACAGTGAGGAAGTGAAGGTCTGGGTGCCCATCTTCTTGCTAAGTAATTGCTAGAGGCCTGGAGGACACAGCTTAATGCTTAATGGCAATGGCAACGGCAATGATGATAAAAAGGATAATAGTCAACACTCTTCTCTTTTTTTAGAAACATTTATTTTTTAGTTATAGGTGGACACAATGCCTTTATTTTATTTTTATGTGGTACAGTGCCTCATGCATGCTAGGCAAGCGCTCTTTTTTCTGAGCCACAACCCCAGCCCCAATGGTCAACACTTTTCTAGTGCTAAACTATGTGCTAGGCATTGCTTAAGCTCTCTGAATTTATTAATTATTTTAATCCTGACCATCATCCTAAGAGGCAGGGATGTTACTTTAACTTTCTTTATAGATGAGGAAACTGAGGCATAGAGGTACTCTTTAGCCTTCAGTTACTCTAGCAATCATTCTGGCAGGTTTCAGGAAGATGGAAGGAAGATTTTCAACCTCTACTTCCCAGCCAGCTGGGCTCTGTGTCAGGTCTAGGCCCTGGGCCCTGTCCTAACCTTACATCTGAAGGACCCCTCAGGATCCCAGCTGCTTTCTTCCATGTGAGGCATTACTGCCTCCCTGAGCATGTCTCCCTGCATTCCTCTCTGCTACTCACCCCCAGCCACAGACCTCCTGAGGGGATGTCAGCTGCCCTCCCCAGCGCTCTCCCCCTTCAGGTGGGGCTGGAACTGGCATACCTTGAAAATGGGGTGCACAGCAGGCAGCTGGCGATACATGGCGATACCAAAAACCTCAGATATCAGGTGTGTGCGCAGAAGGTGGGTGATGGTCTGGTGGACGTGGAAGTCACTGGAACGCACCCAGATTTTGGCTAAAAGCCAGTCATATTTGGCATCCGAAGGGAGAAAAATCGGATTCTCCTCTCCTGGGGTTTGATTGAGCTGATATGTTGAAGAAAGACATTACATTGTATATTTTGCTCTAGACTACAAAAGAATCTAAATGTCTTCAACAGTGACTTTCAAATCACAACACAAGCATGGACCCAGGGTTCTTGTTTCATGCCTAGCTATGACACTTATAACCTGGACAACCCTAGATGACCAAGTCTTTCTGCACCCCAGGGACAGTAATTCCTCATGGAGTTGTTATTAGGCCACATGGAGACATCACAAGATAGAGGGAGGTGCAGATGGATGTGATCTCTGCTCTTAACCTTTTCCCTCCTGGCTTCCTACTAGTCTCTCATTGCTGTTTCTTGAACTTCCACACCCTTCTCTCTGGGAAGTTAGAGATTAAAGTGTCCTTCCCTTGAAGTCTAGGGCTCCCCAGGGTTTGCCCAGGTCATCCCTTCTTGCCCTCAATTAGCACCTCTGGGACCGGGGCTCTGGGGCCCTCTTGCTGCCCAATCTTAGATTGAGCAGTTTGAGCCCTGCCCTGGGCTCTAGACCTATAGCTGGATGTAGCCTGTAGCCCAGCTCACCTTCTCCTTCCATTTTGAACCCACACTGGGGCCAAGGTGATTTTTCTCTAAAGTACAAGTCATGTTATATGAATCTCCTCTTGAAAAATACTCAGTCATCTCTTAATGCCAGAAAATGAAATCCCCAAACTCCTTGGTGATCTGGCCTCCAATGTCTCCACATTCTGGTCTTTCCACCCTCTCTGCCTGGCCCACCATTGATCCCTAGCTTCACCTGTGACAGCATTCATCCTCAATCATCCCTGTTTTTGTGTGTGTGTGTCTTTTTTAATTTTTTTTTTTGGCTTTTTGTGGGGGGCGGGGTGGGGAGGTGGGGAGAGCGAAAGAGAGAGAGAGAAAGAGAGGGGGTGGGTGGTGCTGGGGTTCAAACTCAGGGCCTAATGCATGCTAGGCAAGTACTCTAACACTGAGCCACACCCTAACCCCACACATCACTCACGAAACACCAGCCTCATTTCAGCACCCAACAATGAGATCTCTGGGGAGTCTGGATGGCAGATGTTAGGGCTACCCCATCTCTTAAATGAGGACAGGGAATCATGGAGGGGCTGGCATTTAACGTGACTCGGGGGAACAATGTGCCAGCAGCAGCTGTGGAGGCTGAGAGCAGGCTGGGAAGAGACTTGGCTGGGCTTTGTGCAGTTGGAGAGACCGGTGTGGTTCCAGCAGAGACAGAGAACTGACCCAGCTGAGGCAGGCACTCAGCTGTGTCCCACTATTTTGGAAAGTGACTTCCTTGTCTGTTTCTTCCTCTAAAACAGGACAATCCTGTAGAATTATAATGCGAACCAAATGAGGAGTTTCAAATTTTTAGGAAACCACGTTTTAAAATATAAAAGGAAACAGGAGAAATTTAGGTTAATGACATAATTTTAGTTTACCCAGTATATTCAAAACATGAAACCAATCTACAACTATTAAATATTTCATCCCCTGCCCCATTCTAAGTCTTTGAAATCTGGCATGTACTCTGCACCTATAGCAGTTCTTGGTTTGGACTAGTTGAGTTTCAAGTGCTCCAGAGCCATGTGAAGACAGTGGCTTCTGTACAGGCTAAGGGACAAAGCTGCTCTCACATCTGCTCCAGCTGCCTCTGGTGGAGAGAGACGGGTGGAAGGAGAGGAGAGCAGAGGTGGGCCTCCAGATAGTATTCTTGTTTGTTTTTTTATTAATCGGATCCATTGTCCATCTTCAATTAGTTAATTTCAGCTAAAATTTAAATGATCAAGTTTTCTAGAAAATTAAGAGGTTGGGAGAACCTTGTGCAGATCAAATTCTTGCCCCTCTGAAATAACCCCAGGGCTCAAAGTCCTCAGGATCTCCACCTCTCTGATGATTTACTCATTGGCATTAGCTGCCCTGGTAACAGGCACCTGCCACTGTGCCCTGCCTCCTAGATGTCCTTTGATAAAGTCCTGACATTCTCTAAAACATTCCTCATATTGCTCCCTTATAGGCTTTGGGACCTGGAGACTCTCTGCTGTGTGGTAGGGCTTTTACCTGTACTATCTCACTTAATCTTCATAATGACTCTGCAAAGCAGGTATTCCTTATCATTTCCATTTTACATAGGGAGAAACTGAGGCTCTGTGTGGAAACAGTAGCTCTCCCAAGTCACATAGGAGGTAAAGAGCTGATCTGGGACAGTTCCACTCTCTGCCTATTTCAGATCTACCACACCACTTTCTCCCTTCTCTCCTCTCTGCAAATCAGCACTGCATTTGCATTTCCTCAATGAGCTCTTAGGTCCACTTTGCACTTTGCCCTCTCACATATCCTTCACAGATCCCGCTCCCATCCAGGATCTTAGCCTACCCTGGTACTCCAGAATGTCCCTGGGCAATTTGCTTGTGTTTTTCAAATTTGGGGGGGAAAGGGAGTTGGGGGTGATAAGGAAGTAGCTGTTTGTTTTTGATTACAAAATCAATCGTATTTTCTTATTGTAAAAAATAAACTGGTTATTAAAGAAGAGCTCAAGAAAGAGAACATTTCATGATCCATATCTAACAGCTGACCACTACCTTCTGGTAAGCCTTATTCATTAGGTCTTTGCATATGTTCATATTTATCTGTTGAATTTTCCATAAACAGAATTTTATTAGAAGATATATATGTCTCTTCTTCCTTTGCTCAACTGACTCCTAACTCACTT